TGGAGGAAATTTCATGGTAAGTCTCAAAAGAACTAGGGCTGAGATTTCCTGGGGGAGCTGGGGTGGGAAGTTACCACTGGGAGGAGCACAAGGAGAGCATCACCAGTCCTAGCAATGCGCCAGGGACCCGCTGGGGAACGAGTTTGTGTGTTGTATTGTGATAACTTACGATCTATACAGTATGCATACTTTTGCAGGTGTCAGTATTTCTGGAGAATAAAGGGAACAACATTCTAAACATTTTTGAAGTTTTTTTTTTTAATCACCTAGGGAAAGAACTAAGGAAAAAAAAAATAGAGCACCATAAAGAAAGTGTGATCTAGGAATGATGGCTGGACCAGGTGTTTGCAAAGGGTTTGCAGGTGTTTGCAAAGGGCTCAAGGAGCGTGGCACCCTGAGTCCTTCCCGAAAAACAAAACAAAACCAAACAAAAAACCCCTGCTTGTTATAAAATCAAACCTGTAGGGGAATGAATGAAATGAAGAACTCGAGAACAGGGAGATCACTGTAAAAAGACTTAGGGAGAATATCAAATCCATTTAATTGTAGAATTGTTGTTAAAAAGAAAAGAAAGGGATGGAATTATGGTGACCCAACAGAACAACCATGCTTTAAACCTGGACTGTGCGTAAAAACAACAGTAGTAATTTTCTACTGTACACCAGGGGTGCGCTTTCATATCTGGCCATGTCGGAGGGACAGGTCTAGAAACAGTGGTCAGCTTAAACAATTATAACAGTGGGCAGAGGATGAGACACCTGTTCCCAGGAACTGGACCACCAGCGACATGGGGGTGAGGTCCTGGAGAGCTGGAACACACACAGGTGACCCCATGTTCCTCTGGGGTTCCTTCTCCTGGGGACAACCTCTGAGCCCAGCAAGGAGATGCAGAGACGGGGGTCTCAGTGAGCTGGGTGGGGGGAAGCTCAGAGGTTGCTGAGGGCCGTGGAACTCATGGGGCAGAGATGAGGAGAGGAGGGGGACCCAGCTGCCCAGAAGTCGAGGTGCCTGGCCCTCTGGCTGAGTGTGGTCTTGGACAGAGGGTCGACCTTAGGGGGAGGGCCTGGCAGGAAGCAACCGCCATGGGCTAAAAGCCACCCAGAGACCCCCAGGTGGAGCAGAGCTGCGAGCAGCTGGCCCTCCCGCCAGCCAGAGTGGACCGACCCTGCTGAGCACCTGCCCACCCAGCTGGACCCTGGAAGGAAAACAAGCAGAAGCGAAGGTGACATGGCCGTGGAAGCCACTGATGATCTAACACCTGACCTTGCCAAAGCAATATTGATTCCAAAGGCAAAACTTACATCAGGGCGAGAGGCACAATGCTTTCATCATCAGACAGGAAGCTAGCAGCGTGGATGGAGCCTAGACCGGTGGTTCATCCAGCATCAACAAAAAGTGAAAGGTCTTTTTCTGCCTCGGGAATGCATGTCGTGAAACGGAGATGGAACCTATTCCTTAAGGCACTGAATGTTTTCTCTGTTTAAATGACTCGTGTTTGGTATTTATTTTCTACACATCGTCCCTCCTTTCAATGTTCTTTACTACAAACATTACTCAGACAGAGATTTTTTTCGTTATTGAAATATGTAATCTTAACAAAAATAAATTGTACATTTATTGTCATATCTTTTTTAAAATAGCCAGCTTCTGAAGCATGGTTTATAACCCTACCGCAGCAACGTGACTCAGTTTGTTATTACGTCACTCAGTAACATTTAAAAACGAGTAAATAAAGTGTTGTAAAAATGTGGAATATGATTTTGGGAAAATCCCAAGAATTCCTGGGAATGATGACTTGTGCCTGAATCCCAAGGATTAATGCTACTTCTTTATCTGCTGAAACCCTGCAAGTTCTTCAAATTTCAGCTCACGCATTCCCTCTTCTTTAAAATTTTCTGTATTTAAAATCAGCCAGAAATGTTCTATGTTGGCCAAAGCTCATTATTGTGAATATCTGAAATCTAATACAATGTAGTCTAGGCAGAGGAGTGCTTTATTGGCTGTAGCTTCAGGTATAGCTTGATCCAGGGGTTTAGAATGCCATGATTCCTCTCTCCCTCTCTCTCTCTCTGGTTTTTGTTTTTGTTTTGTTTTTGTTTTTGTTTTTGTTTTTGTCTCTCTGTCTTTCTCCTTGTGTCCCAGCTTTTTCTCTGACATAGGTTCAGTTTCTCTCAACTTACTGTTGAAGATATTCACTGGGAGCTCCAAGCATGCATTTTCCTGAAAACTCATGATCCTAGACCGAGAGAGAATGAATGCTTTTCTGGGAGGTTTGATAAAAGTCCTCAGTAGCTTTCTGATTGTCCCCATGTGTGCCATCTGCTCAGCCCTGACCCCAGATTGTCATCAGGGTTGTGGATATTCTGATTGGCTATAAATGGGTCGCCTGCCCTCATCTGGGATCAGCCCTACCTGCCTAATGGAAGGGATGCAATCCTGGGTGTAGGGGAGCCATGGATGTCCACCAGACCTTCCAACCTTCTCTCCTTCCCCAGAAGGGATCAACATCTCTCTGTCTACACCCCCATAACTGCTCCTCTGCCTGTATTATATTATCGCCCAGAGTGTACTCTCATGTGCATGTCTGTCTTCCCTCCGTCCACTCCACATCGTCTGGCTTTCCTCCTTTTGGCATTCTAGCATCTAGTGCGTGCCTGGCAAGCAGCAGGTGCTCAACAGCTCCAGTTCATTTTCTTGTCAGGCACCACCCATAGTTCTATATGAACTGCTTACTCTTCCCAGCCGTACCGTGAGGTAGGAATTACTAACCCCCATTTAAATATTTATAGAATAAGTGAATACAGTTAAGTCATGGTTTAAAAAAGTTACAAACTGAACCACATTAGAGAAGCCAAGGGCTGCCTGTTGCTGTCCAGCAGACTCGGAGCTGTCAAAGGGATCTATTATCTTTCGGGCACTTCCCAGAAGGTAGCGAGTCTGACCGCAGAATGAGGCTGGGATGACCTCCACCGGAGAGGCTGGGCCGGGGCCAGCCACATGGGCCCAGAGGCAGAGGGTACTGGCTGCCAGTCACCTCTGCTGCCCATAACATCATAAAATATCTGAGCTCCCCCCGAGGCCAACAAACAAAAGAACAACTGCCTATTAGAGTAAGTCATCCTGACACTGGACCCCGTCCAAGACACACAGAAGGAATCCCTCTGGCAGATCCGAGGTGGAGTTACAAAGCCAGAGGGACACGGACAATCACCCAGGACTATACTTTTGTTTTCCAGATGAGGAAGTAGAGGCCCATAGAGGTTAAAGCAATTGTCCAAGGTCGCACAGCTGGTTAGTACCGAAACTAGAGGCTGGAAGCCGAGCCCAGATCACTTTCTGTGCTCCCTAAGGCTCCACACACCTGAAGCTTTCCTTGGAGGTGTCATGGCCCCGGCTTCAAGCCTGCATCCCCGGGCAGGCAGCCTCCATGCAGCATGCCTAGTTCCTTGTAGACACACTCTGGAGGGGCCTTGGCTCTGTGACAGTCAGCGGTGGGATCCCCACGACACAGCTCCGTAGCATAGAGTCGGGGAGCACTGCGCCCAGGACCTGGGTGAGGTCTCATTGGAGAGAGGTCCATGGCATGTCCTCCAAAGCAGGATGGCAGAGGGCATTCAGCTGATGTCTGGATCAGCAGGGCAGAAGACCCTCCATCTCCACCAGCCTCCCCGAGCCTCATCTCCTGCCCCCACCATGGCCATCACATATTTTGAATCCTTCCACTGCCTCTACCAGCGACCTGCTGGGGGGGCTTTTCCCAGCACTGAGATGACATTTAGCAGGTCATTGGTCACTTCCAGCATATCAGCATATCTGCCGGGCCGGCTGCTGCTTTCCTTGGATGCAGATACCCAAACACCCCAAAACCCTCAGTCTCCATAGGAACAAGCCCTCACCTGATGCATGTAGGTCCCAGATGGGAGCACAAATGGAATCCCACATGCTGTGTGTGTAAATAGTGAGGAGCGATAAATAACACCAGTAAACTCCTAAAGGAGACACGTTCCACCCTCCTGTACTGATAGACTCATTTTTATAGCAACAACATTTTAAAAGATGTGTAAAGTTATTATTTTTATGTGACCACAAGTCAGCAGGATATCAAAGACATCTAAATTTAATTATTGTAGGATATACCTGGTGTTTGGTGATGGGCTGGCAGTTTCCAGACAAGTAACAAAATAAAGACACACAGAAATCACATATTATCATAGTATTTACTCTATGGAAATGGGGTTTTAAAAAAGATATTTATTTATTTATTTTAGATTGTTTGTCTTTTAAAATATTTAAACTTAAGGGTGCCTGGCTGACTCAGTCAGTAGAGTGTGCGACTTCATCTCTGGGTTGCGAGTTGAAGCCCCACATTGGGCACAGAGCCTACTTAAAAAACTAAATAAATAAAATAAAAAAGAAATATCTTTTAAAAAAATAGAAAATGAAAAGATAAAATATTGAAACTTGCCTATTAAAAGTAGATGCCAAACTGTAAATTATAATTCATGAATATAAAAGTTTTGATCAAACTCATTTAAGTAAAAATAAGATTTGTATCAATTCTTGAAAATTTAATTAAATCGTATTACAACTTTTTATCAAAACAAAACCTTTTGCCTCTTAGCCTTCGGTGCCGGGCTAGTTCATACACTATGAAAGGGCAGCGTCTCACTTCACACCAGCCGTGGGGACCCCACCAGTTGGATCCTCCTTATTCGTGATTCTGTGTTTAGGAATTCAGCTACCTGCTACCATTTTTGGAAGCCCCTGATCAGTTCTTGGTGCTTCCCAGGGGATCTGCAGACACACCCCATGTGGGGAAGCCTTTGCTCGCCTGACACACGAGTTCCAAGCTGAGGTTGAACAAGATGGCCCTTTGCCCTCATGTGGGGGAAGCAAGTGTCCTCCCTGTGCTCTCTTTAGCACCACGTTTATCAAATCTCTGTGCTTTTCTGGGGCGGCTTTGTGGTCGGAAGTGGCCCCCAAGCGCAGGGCAGTCTGCCGTCCGGCGATCCCGAGCCCAGAAGGCTGTGAGATACCTGCAGAGGAAAGGGGTGTGTTCGATACACTTCGTTCAGGCACAAGTTCAATGTTCGTGAAACAAGCTTGTATTGAATGAGGGGCCTGTATACAGAGACACACGTAAAACAAGGTTACGTACTCATCGGCTGACAAAGACACTATGAGCAGAGGCACGCAGGAATCGGACCCTGTTTTTCCTGTAGGAACAGCATTCGGTGTCGCTCACTCAGTGCTTGTTGGGATTTTACAGACCCTGAACCCTGCAAGTCATGAGGACTGCCTGGGTGTATGGATTTACGAGTTGTTTAATGCTGCAGAATGTTCCACGGCTGGCTCACGCAGCTGTGCCCAACACTGCCTCCAGGGCCACGCCAGGGAGGCCATGGTCCGTGGGGGCCCTCCCAACACATGCTGCTTCTCTGCTGGCCAGCGCATCCCACCCACGCCAGGAAGAGGGCTGAGCCCCTTAACTCCTTTGTGTCTGACCCACAGTCTTCCACGGCTCAGATCCGTCCCCAGGGTTGGCAGTGACCCAGCCCACAAGCCCGTGGCATTCAGATGCAGTCACCATGTGTTTTGAAAATACAGGGTGAGAGGAGTGGAGAGGACTTTCTCCGGGGTCTGACCATTGTCAGTCAACACAAGGGATGTTTAGGGTTATAGATCCCACCACGTCAGCCCTGAGCTCCAGAGCCCAGTGACAAGCGTCTGTGTGTTGTTGGACGTGCTGCACTGTGTGTGCACACGTGTTCAGGGCAGAGAGAGGCACGGCCTGGGGACTGTCCTCCCCGTTGGCCTGCAGCTCAGTGGGGAGCTTCCAGAGGACGTGGGTCCCCATCTGTCACCACAGCCCAGCGCCATCAGCTTAGAGGCTCCGGCAGGGCAGGAGACGTCCTCCGAGAGTTTCTCCAGAGAGTGTGTTTGTGTTTGCGGTCCCCTTTTTGTGTGAGGAAGTTCGTTTATTGTTTGGGAGCAGGGACAGCAGATGTTTTTTTCTGGTCTTCCAACCAACAGATTTTAAAACCTAGAGTGTTTCTTTACCTTCCTTCCTTCCTTCCTTCCTTCCTTCCTTCCTCCCTCCCTCCCTCCCTCCGTTCCTCCCTCCCTCCCTCCCTCTCTTTCCCTTCCTTCCTTCCTTCCTTCCTTCCTTCCTTCCTTCCTTCCTTCCTCTTTCTTTCTTTCTTTCTTTCGAGAAAATGTACCTTACCTGGCCCATAGTCCCTTACACTATCTCTTTGGCCCAGATTCTAGATGAGGATTGTTAGGGAATACTAACATTTTTCCAAGAGGTGTTACCCTGCTGCTCTCTTTCTCCTCATTCTTTCCTCATTTGCCTTTTTGCTTTGGATTTCCATCTTTCAGGGCTTGGCATCCAGAACTGCTGGCTGCCAGCTGTCAGCTTTGGAAAGTCCCCGTGCACCTCTGTTCTACATTTACACAGTGGGATGCTCGTGTCTAGCACGTGGCTTGCGTGACAGCAAAGGACTACCTGTCTGTGCCATGTTGGTGCAGGTGGAGCTGAGCATGGAGTCGCACATCCTCGGCACACGTTCCTCTCCATCAAAAGAATGTGCTGGAACCTGAAGCCCTTCTCAGGGTGACAAAGCAAGGAATCACTAGAGATTAGTGTTGCTTTTGTGTGATCCTGGTGGGCCTCCAGGCAGAGCAGGGAGAGACCAATGGACCACGCTGACTCGAGGGCTGCTCACACTCCTGAACTAAGATAGTCGGTTCTCATTCCATGCGGGGCTGTGCAGTAAAAATGAAACATAAGAGCTTATGAACAAACATGGATCTTGATCTAATAGCTTCTCCAGGTTTGGGGTCTGCCTCACTCCGCCTGGGATGTCCCTGTCCATTTGCACTGGCAGACACGGGGAACAGTGTCCTGGGGTGACCAGACCTTGGGGTGGATGGGGGACTGAGACCTGATGTGTGCAGGGCAGGGGGAACACACTGGGAGCCAGGGGGTCCCACCCAGGGGTGGCAGGGGTGAGGTTAAGATTTAGTGGGAGAAACGGGAAGAAGGAAGCTAGGGGTGTGTGGGCTAGAATCTGAGACAGGCTGGGGATAGGGGTTTACGGGAAGGGTAGGTGGGAGCTGGAGAACTAGGCTTGGGACTACCCAGGTACGGCGCCCACCCCATCCAGGAGCCATCCATTTCGGTCCCCAGCCGTCATCAGCAGGCACAGGGGTTATTGCTTTCCAGATCCCTGACACCCATCTATGTCCCCCAGGACACTTGCAGCCCACCTCTGACTGACCCTGTGACTTAGCATCTCTCCCCTACGATGCTAAGTCCTGAGTAAGACACTGTTGATACCAAGCAGGTCTTGGTGCACCCTGTCCCCTGACCCATGCTGGGACTCCTCCATCTAAGGGGTGTTTGGCAGAAGGTGACCCTTGGGTCCCTTTGCACACCTGGTTTTTGGCAGAGACTTACTGAGCTTCCCCTCCAGACCAAGGGTCAGGTCACAGCTCCTGTTCTCAAGAAACTTGCATTTAGAGGGGGAGAGAGAAACCACCAGGCATGCTGCAAATCGGGAGACAGATGGGATGAGCAAGGGTCACTGCCTTGGGGCAGGGGCCTCCCAGGAGGGATCTGAGCCAAGCCCCTGGAGCAGGAAGAACAGTGTGGCCAAGACATCTGCTCCTTCTGATTGGAAGGGCATGGTCTCAGGTACTGACTCCCACAAATTGGCTGCTTAGAGCCCTTGGCAGAGAGGAATTTCTAGACTGAATCATAGCTTGCTGGAAGAGTGTGGGTTGGAAGGGATGAGTGGGCGGCCGGGTGGCAGGACGCCACCTGCGAAATGACAGGTCTCTCTTGGGGGGGTTGGAGGGGTACCAGGGAGGACCTCCTTCTGACGCAACAGATGCACGTGACCATGGCCAAGCCTGAGAGCTGTCAGTATCAGCCCCATCGGAACCACGAAGTTTACATCTCCTGGAAGGGAATAAATGCATAATACAACTTACATATATCACACAGGTGTGTTATTTATGTATTATCTATTGTAAGGGACTGGAATGGCTCACATGAAGATGAAGGCTGGGCAGTTCCAAGATCTGCAGTCAGCAAGTTGAAGATCCAGGAGAGCCGATGGTATAGTTCCATCCAAGGCCAAAGACCTGAGAAACAAGAAAGGCTACGGTATATGTTTCAATTAGATTCTGAGCCCAGGGCAGCAGAAGACCCATGTCCCAGCTCAAAAACACAAAGAGAGTCAACCAACTCAGCCTTTTATCATATTTAGGTCTTCAACTGTTTGGATGAGGCCCACCTAGCCTGGGGAGAGCCATCTGCTTTACACAGTCTACCAATTCAAATGTCAACCTCATCCGGAAGCATTCAGAGGCATACCTAGAATAATGTTTAGTCAAATGTCTGGGCACTCCGTGGCCTTCTGACTTGACATATCAAATTTACCATCGAATTGTCTCTGCTTCCTAAAGTCATCTCCTAAATAAGCCACACATAAGCCTAAACTTTGAGCTCTGCTTTTTGGGGCCACCCAAACTAAATGGACAGGGTTTCCGCCAACATTGATGCCAACTAAGACTTATGTAAGTCTTGGAGGACTATGGAGAGTCTTCTGCCGCGTAGAAAAGTCCACACATTACAGAATACCTAACATCCCTAGCACCTGCGAATGAAATGCCAGGAATGTGCACCATCCCCAATCACTGTGACAACCATAAAAACCCTGTACATTTCCAAAATGCCCCAAGGGGTGGTACCACCCAAGCTATCCCCCAGATTGAAAACCGTGTGTCTGAAGGAAGTGAGCTTCAGGAATGGCTTAATCAGATTTCCTGATGTATTTTCCTCTCTTCTCTCAGCTCCACTCTCCCCTGTGCCTGCCTAATCCTCACCCTTTTCTTCTTCTTGGAGGCAAGTCAGCTGCAGCTGTTTTAGGAGTGTATCCACATCCTACAGAGGACAGAAAGAGTGAGAATGGTTTGTTCCCACATTTCCAGCAAGACTCCGGAGACCCACCCTGGCTGGGTCAGACAAAGTTTCATATATGGTTCTCCTGGTGGCTTAGTGGGAGTATGGAATTTTTTTTTTTTAAGATTTTATTTATTTGACAGAGAGAGACAGCCAGAGAGGGAACACAAGCAGGGGGAGTGGGAGAGGAAGAAGCAGGCTTCCTGCTGAACAGGGAGCCCGACATGGGGCTCGATCCCAGTACCTCGGGATCATGAACGGAGTCGAAGGCAGACGCTTAATGACTAAGCCACCTAGGTGCCCAGGAGTACAGAATTTTTGATGGGACTTGGGGGGCCATTCACAGTCCATCTGGAGCAAGAGCTGGGGATGGGGTCTGTTGCTCTGAAGCCCGTGGGGTGTGGCGGGTGATGCCTGGATAAAAATTTGAGCATTGTCAGGAAGGGAAAAGACACAACTGGGGAGCCAATAAATTTACCCAGCTGAGAACAGCAACATGGGCTGTTCCTGTGACCATGGCCTGGGGATATGTGTGTGTAGATACGAGACCCCTTCATTTAGAGGATTTCACTGGTCGCCCCTCAACCATGTCTACCAGGCATGGTCCCTGTGACACCTTCACTTCCATCATCGCTCATCATCAACTGACAATGTCTGTGCAGTCCTCCTCATTACTTTATTCCTCACCCGGACTCAGCAATGGACACTCTGGTCTATACATCAGTCTCCGTGGGGTAGGTTAGTGTGAATTGGCCCCTGGAGGAACAGACACCCTTATGGTAATCTACAGTAGATTCCAGAGTCTGACCTGTGGCAAATCTTAGTCTGAGTTTGCAAATGAAGAAACTGAGTCTCAGAGAGGCTCCGTGGCTGTGCTGGGGCACCTAGCCAATGGACGAGTGGCCAAGAGTTGGACCCTGCCTCTCTTTCCAGTAGCAACATCACACAGGCTGGACTCTGAGGCTGCAAAATTCCCTTCTCATCGAAGGAATAGTCCTCCATGTTCACATAAGCGACTGCAGTAATCACACCAGGGCAGAGGTCAACAACACAGGTGCCACCCCCTCCCCCATGTCTTCTCCTATCACACAAGTGTTTCATCCCTCCTTCAGAGCCCCTTCTGGGGCTCTGTCAGTTGACCATCTCTCTCTTGATTTCGGCTTGGGTCATGATCTCAGGGTCATGAGTTTGAGCCCTTTGCCGGGCTCTGCACTTACTGGGGAATCTGCTTGAGATTCTCTCTCTCCCTCTGTCCCTTCCCCATCCCCTCAAATAAATAAATAAATCTTAAGGGAAAAAAAGCCCCTCTGTCCTTCTCTCCCCCATGTGTTGGCACAAGGTGAGGGCTAGGATGCAGGAGGGACATTGTGTCTCTTCCAAAGATCAAATAAGGGGCGGACCCTAAGAACGCCATAAACCCCACAAGGTGTTGTCAATTTAAACAACGTGAAGGCCGTGGTAGGGAGGGTTTCTTGGCCACCCCTGGAGCCTGGATGACTCCCAACGGGAAAGGCAGGGAGTGGGTGCTGCTCACCTCTGTGTTTTGGGCACTGTCCTCGGCCACGCTGCCTCTCCAGATTGGGGAAGAGCAGGGCTGCTCTCTGGGGGAGTTTGGATTCCTGGGGCCGGAAAAGAGCAAACGGTGTTTCTTTGGTCTGCGACATGTCAGCCCGAGGCTTTTCATTTCCCTGTCCCCACCCCCAGTCCTGGCATTTTGGGCCTTCGGCTTGAAATGCATGAAAATTTATCTCGCATCTGGACGCGGCTGAGACAATCCCCAGCACCTTTGTAGGGATGAGATGAACAGGAAGCCGCAGGAAACGGAATCAAAATTTCCACTGGATGGGCAGCCGAGCTTCTGGAGAAGAAAAGGGAGAAATCCAAACCCTGCCTTGTGGGAACCTGAGGTCTGGGGTGGGGGTCTGGTGTTGGGGCCAGGGCACGGGTTGTCGGTGCCTGTGCAGTCACTGCCGGCCGCTGCTCTGGGCAAGGAGCAGGAGGCAAGGGGGCCGGGGTGGCTCGGAGTCCTGTGGCCTCCATATCATGAAAGTGCTTGCCATGGGTTTCATTCCTCACTTGCCAGTTTTTAATTCTGTAGAGCTCTCGGTTTTGAGAGGCTCAGAGCGCTGGTTTTGGCTTAGGGCAAGCCTAGAGGGACAGGTCACAGCTGGTGGCTGCCATAGGCGTGGGTACTACTTGACGAAGACCAGGTCATCTCGGGCTAGCTTCCCTGGGTGGTCAGGGCGTGCTTCCAAGCCCTCGATAGGAACGACACACGGGCTGGATCAGCCTTCCCCTCTTCTCCTATTTGCCAGAGTCCCCCTACCAGGAAGGTGCTGGGTGGTGTGTGTGTCTTTGGGGGAGCTCTGGTATCCTCTCTGAAGTCAAGTTGAAAGTTTATATAAATCACCTTATTGTTGGAAACTTTTCTAAAAACTCCACCCATTCATTGCCCACTGTGGGAACCGGAACATCTTGGCTGAAACTGGCTTTTTCCAAGGATCGGAGACCACCCTGTGTGGATTAATGAGTGTCTCTCATACCCAGGCCACGCTTGCTTCATCTCTCTCAATGGAGCCCATTGGTTTCCCTCTCCTCTTCCACATCTCCAGACCCAGGGTCCTTCCCACGGGCGAGCCTGGGCTCCTCTGTATCCTTCCAAGTTGATTCCTTCCATGTGAAGGTCGAAAGGCCAGGAAAAAGAATCCAGCCAAGGAGAGAAACTTCCTGCCCGTGAATGGAGGTGAGTCTTCTATGCTACCTTCTAGAAGCAAGTTGCAAGCATATAGCGGGGGTGGGAGGGGTAAAGATGCAAAATACTCTCTCTTTTCTCCAGGGCTCGCGGCTGAATACACACTCCCTTCTCCCTTGCAGCTGGCAGGCTCAGGTGAGGAAGATCTTGAGCAGAAGTACTCTGTGAGGCTCTTGCGGGACATCGAGAGAAAAGGCAGTCCTCCCCAGGGCTTTTCTCTCTTGCCACCAACTGGGCAGTTGGAATTTGCGGCCAGGAAGCTTTGGAGCGCAGATGACAGCAGTGTTCCTGGGATGACAGAGTAATGACTCGGAAGGAACCTGGGTCTCTGAATGACCAGGCAGAGCAAAGCAGCCCATCCACCTGCCTGGAACTGTACAGGAGAGGGGTTCAGATGCACGTGTTTTCTTTTTTTTTTTTTTAAAGTATTTCACTAATTTTTAAATCAGAGAGGGAGAACAAGCATGGGGGAGGGTGGCAGGCCGAGGAAGAAGCAGGCTCTCTGTGGAGCAAGGAGCCCGATGCGGGACTTGACTCCAGGACCCTAGGATCTTAACCTGAGCTGAAGGCAGCTGCTTAACTGACTGAGCCACCCAGGCGGCCCTAAACTTGTGTGTTCTTAAAGTCACTGCCCCTGGGGTCTCTTTATTATAGGCCACCACCCTGCTAATGCACAGACGAAGCTCTGCTCCCCTTCCTCTCCTTGGGGAGGGTGTGAGGCACAGGCTCGGACCTGTAGACAGCAACTGTTTGGTAGAGATTTTTGCTTTTGTTTCCAGTGCAGAAGGAATGAGCTGCCTAGCAGAAAAGGTTGCAAAGGATTCAAAAGGGCTTGATTCACATTCAATTCATTCCTTTCTTCCGCTAACACGGCCTAAGCATCTCTCTGATAGGCAACGTGCTGCTGGCCTCCCATTCCAGACATTCTCTGCCCTCCCTACACCCACCACATCCAGGAAACCTCCTTCCCAAGTCTCCACAGAGATGAAATGTGAATTCCCGGCCAGATGCTTTGATGTGTAGGCAGAAGATGCAGAAAGAGAGTGGTGTGTTTGGGTCACGGAAAACATTCTCTGTCCTTGCGGACCAGGCTTATTCTGGCTCTTACAGACTCGCAATTGTTTGCTTCCTTTTATTCACCACCAGATTTATTCCTGACACACAAATCTCCCTCCTACCCGGTCTCTGTCTCTCACTGTGGCTGTTGTCAATGGTCAGTGTTTAGCAGGGGCTAGATCTGGTCAGAAGGCCTGGCTCGCGCCCTGACCCTTAACGCTTCCCAGCCAGGCCCCCTGACTTCTCGTCGCCGGCACTCAGGTTCTTCATGTATAACATGGGGATAAGCTTCTCCATCCTGATTGTCTCACAAAGTTGTTGTAAAGTGGAGACGCAAACGTGAAGTATGGTTATGAGGTTTTCCGAATGCTC